TTGAGAAGCACCCCGAAACGATCATAGATAATAAAATGTGTCTGTATATTCTATAAGAGATAAAGTACTGTGATATTTGTGGCTTAGGTGTTTGACAGGTACTGACTGTTTGATTTACTTTTCTCCCCTTCCTGTTCTTCGCTCCATGTTGTAATTTCTGCTCTCATATATACTATATAGGTTGTGTGTATATCGCAGAAGCTATTGACAATAGGACCACAATGTCCGAATGCAGGCAACATAAGAAAGATGAGAATAAAGACTCATGTTTTACTAAAATATTAAGTAACCAGCGTGAAACATATTCATATTTGCTCCACAATCGCGGTCCTCACATGATCTTTCCTGCCCTTGTACTGGTCGTCTTTTTCTATCTTGTCGGCACACATCCATTTATCATAGTCATAAACTTTGACCTCCACCAGTCTTTGTATGCGGCGCGGGCGCACAAAAACTTCTGGGGTTTTTCCAAGATATAGGGATGTTGGGAGGTCATTTATATGCACAGAAGCTTAAGTAACTTTTTGCTAAAGTGGAAAGGACTGGCCTCTACGAAGCAAGGCTGACCATTGAAGCGGCATTGTTGTAATGTAGGCACTCACTAAAGGGATAGCGTCCTGTAGAAAAAAGAATTTGTTTAAACGGGTCTCAAGTTCCCGCTCGATTGCCACATACAAAAGGTCTCCAAATGAGGACGAAGGCGGGCGCTGGCTTGGCGTCGCAATCGTTCAGTGTAAGAGGTGACTACGTGTGTCGGATTTTTTTCACTCCCCAAACTTGACTCCAGTTTTCCTCCAACCAGAATAAAACCCAGCCCAAAAACCACCGCAACGATTAATTGCTTTTCAATTCGATCTCACGTCTTGGCCACTTTCTGAATCTCGCTTTGGTATGATCTGATCCTAGCGTTTCTCCTGACAATTTTCTTGCGCGGTTCAAAGCGGAGGTCTTATGGATATGCTATGTAGCACCAATTCGCGCGAATGTGTAGACAGTTAACGGTCGTATCTCATGGCGATAATGTATATCCGGCGTGCCTCAAGACACGAGTTCATTGACGCGTAGTGGCCTTTGTACAGAGCGATGCCTTACCTACACGCCCTGTGGTCCTCCCGGATCAGTGGACAACAAGGCTCTCTGTTGTCGCTGCTGAACGAGGTAAAGCCCTGCAATCACAGCAACACAATTTTACTGGTGGGTCCTTGCCCGCAGCTTGGTTTGTTGCACTTTGTGGTAGGCATCTGGGTTTTCCACATTCGGGTAGGCAGGGCAGCTAGTCTCCAACGATCGGATCACCTTGGTCATAACTCGCGTTCGTGTTTTGGTCTGGCTTGAACATGTAGAACGCAGGAGAACTACGGGAATGTTTACGGGGAAAGGGAAAAGTGTCACTGAGGACTTCCTTAAAGGTGTTTCTGACACTGACAAATGTCCAATAAATGCAGAATGTTTCTGAAGTTTAAAAGAATAATCGTGATTTCAATTATGATTTTTTTCCATAATCGAGCAGCCCTAACTTCCAGGACAACGTAGATTATCTTCACGACTTTTGGTCATTTGAATTAATTTCCAGGTGTTTTAATAACTAACCTCTCAATTCCCAGGTTTTCCAGGAGGCTCGGGATACTTTGGTAGATATAAAAATGTGCTTTTTACAGTTTTACAGTACTCGTGATTAGATATTTTTCCAGTCTTTATAGCTTTTTGCTCAGCGTTCATTCCCATAACTGGTTCACAATGTCGCCTATAAATGTAAGATTTAACCTAAATATGATTTAATAGAGTTATTTAGCCTTTGTGAGCACAATCCACACAGAGAGAAGGTTTATTCTCAGTTGAGCTCTGCTGTGAGTCGACGTGTTCAACACTTGATGTCTCTGGTTTGTCTCAAAGTCGTGAAATAAACCAGACTCGACTCCAGAAACAGATTTAGGTTCATTTTAAAATCACAATTCCTCGGGGGCTTTTTTTTTTTACGAAGCACCAACAGACGTGTAAAAAAGGGTTTGTTGTTGGATAACTACAGACGAGCCCTCCCTCTCTTCACAGCGGCGGTGGAGATTCCTCACAGGGCTGCAAAACCTGAACACAAGAGGGATTTTTTAAAGGCAGTCGATGGACGTCTCCAACACAGCGAGGAGGAAACGAGCCCGTCGACCACTAGTGGATGTTGTTTCTCTCTCTCTGTCTGTTGTGGTGTTTTCCTTAGAGCCACATCCTCAACCCTGCTGTCATATGGTGTCTTTGGAGGACAGTATCGTTAAAATAAACTCTATTTTTAGCCAGCGATGATGTTAACAAGCGTGAGTAGCTCTGTGAGTGACGACAAAGGATGAAGATTTACTCACCTGGGCGTAGTCTCGCTCCACAGCGGCCCTCTTTTGGCTAAAAGTCCTAAAGGAGGAGAAAGAGAGAGGATGTGAATCTGAAAAACGGCA